CCTCTCTGGGAGTGTCTTCCACAGCGGGCGGGGAGGGGGGGACAGAGAAGGCCTCTGGGCTTCTTCCTCCTTCCACAACCCACCCCGTCTGCAAACGTGGGGCCATGATGCCCTCCTGCACATGGCTGAGGTGCCCCCTCCATCCCTGCTGGAGTGGCCGGCCTGACCAAAATGGGGGTGGAGGGGAGGAGCTGCCCCACCAAGGACGGCCCTTCCTTCATGCAACAGGTTTGGGAGTCCTCAGATGTCCTCATTTTTTAGTCAGTGCCATGCCATTCGCACTCTCTTGCTTGTGGCTCCGTTTGCAGAAGGAAAGACAAGCTCTGGCGCCAACCCCATAATGGAGGTGGGAGGGTCCCATCTGTCACTCGATAGTCTGTTCAGGGAGATTCCCGATCGGAAAGGAGGGGGAGCAGCAGTGGGAGGCAGGGATTTTGAAGCCGCAAGGTTGCCTTGTGTAGTTTCTCAGGTGGAGTGTGGGCACCGGCCGCTTTGGAAGGGGCAGGACGGTTGACAGGAGGGGAGGGGGAGCAGATGCAAGGCCCAGTCCTTGGCCCAGTGAGGGGGAGCAGATGCCCGGCAGGCCCACCATCCTGCCCCCTCCCTGAGGGTGGAGCCCCATGGATCCCGCCTGTGTGTTCTCCAATCCCTGCATGGCAGTTGCCATGTTTCCTTCACTCTTGCCACAGGTCAGAGCACGGCAATCATGTGCGCAGCCCGGCAGTTGTCCTTTCTTCTCCAGCAGCAGCCCTGGACGGGGAATCACTCCTGAGCCTTGTGGGGTAGAAATGGCTGCCACCACATATACACACAGAGGATGGGGACAATTTGAAGAAAATTCCACAGCTGTGGAAGATAAGCCCAGCTGCGCCATCCAGAGGGAGAATGGAAGGTGAGAAGAGTGCCTGTGTTCAAGGTAAAGACCAGCATGTCCTGTGTGTCAGCTCTGCTCAGGGGCGTTCACTGTTCGATCCAGTTGCCCTAAGCAGATGGAGTCAACTTTGAGATATAAAATGGCTGGGCTTTCCACCCAAAAAAAAAAGCACCCCTCCACTGCAAGACAGTGCGAATGGCATGGAACTGAAACAAAAATGGGGACATCTGAGGATTCCCAAATTTGTTGCGTGAAGGAAGGGCCGTCCTTGGTGAGGCAGCTCCTCCCCTCCACCCCCATTTTGGTCAGGTCAGCCAGTCCAGCAGGGATGGAGGGGGGCATCTTCTCATTTTTCGTCTGTAGACTCAAGGTGTCTGTCCCGGAGGAGTTAGAAAAGCTTTTAATAATAAATAATAGAATTAACGAGAATTGTTTTAATTTAGTACACACCAGTTTAATCAATGAAGCCGCTGGATGAATAGACCGCCTTGCGGGTCCCGTCCAGAATTCCTCCCACATCCCATGTCCTGGGGCAAAGCGGCCGCCCGGTGGGCCGAATGGGGGAAAGCTGGGAGCCTCCCATTGCTGCGTGTGTGGCGCCCGTGTGGCAGGATCCCAAGCGGATCAGCCAGCCAGGTCAGCACCCGGAGCTGCGCACTGGGGGGCCCACGACATCATCTCTGATGAGGTTTTGACCTGTCGGGCATTTGACTGGGCCCTCTCCCCACTTGCACCCCACTCATCCTGGCACTGCTGCACTCTGCACTGGGTTGTCCACATGTGCTCACTGTAGCATCTCCTTGGAAAGATCTTCCAGAAATGTCTCACTCCACAGACCAGACCAGTGACGGCGAACCTTTTCGAGACTGAGGGCCCAAACTGCACCCAAAACCCACCTATTTCTTACAAAATGCCAACCTTGCAATAAAACCTGAATACTGAGGTTTTAGTTTAGATAAAACAGCTCACATCCAGTCCAAGCCAATATACATAGGTATCCCTGGCAGCACCCTGACCAGCCATGCGAAAGCTGAGATGTGTCACAGCTATTGAGTCGCAGCTCGTGACATCGCCTTTCACCAATACTCCCTTCCGAGCATGCGCATGGCCCCTTCGTGTGCTGATAGCCGATGCTCGGCTGCTGGGGTGATGCTGGGGCGACATGGCTCGCGTGCCGACAGAGGGCTCTGCGTACCCACTGCAGCACGCGGGCCATCGCTTGGCCACCACTGGACTTGACGGTCAAGAGAGCAGGGGACTCTTCTGAACGAGGCCGTGTGGATGCCCGTGTGCCTCTGCTCCCATGGCCAAAGGAGGGGCCAGAGCTCAGCGGCGGGGGCTGAAAGGTGCCCCACGGCTTGAGGCTCCCGCTACCCCAGCACAACAGGAGCACCCTGTTCCCCCTGCCTGAGACTGAGCGCCCAGGCCTGAGTGCCTGGTGCCCCTTGGGAAGTCGGGACCCACATCACACAGGGAGGGGCGGCCCTGGGGCTGCCTGTGCAGAGAACGCCTCTTGCGCGTTCAAGAAGACGTCCTCAAGTGGCGTTTGGCCTGGAGGACCGTCTGGAGAAGCGGTCCAGCCGGTCCCTCGTCCAGGGGCCTCTGCAGCGCTCAAGTGGCTGAGCTTCCTGAAAAGGCCTCCTGTCCATCCAGTCTCCCTTGGGCAGCCCTTCTGGAAGGTCGTGTCAGAAATCTATGATCTGCCCATTGGAAAAACGGTGCGGAAACAATACAGGGATCCATGGCAAGTTCTTTTCAACTTGTATCTGCGCCAATTATTATCCCACTGGGTTTGGCAGCTTAACACTTATTCTTTCATTCATACATACATTCATTCATTCACTTTAAGTTTTATTTGAAATTATAATCCTAAAAAACCACTAAAAGCAACATCCATCATCAAAAACATCAAGCCCGCTTGGTCAGCCCCACACCCTTCTTTTTCCATTTATGATAGCTTAAAAACATATTTAAATCTGTGCAAAGTCCTGTTTCTCTACCAATAATAAAAAGGGTCCCAAGTTTGATAGAAATCAGTGTCTTCCTTCTCCTTCAGTGATAAAGTCAGTCTATCCATTACTGCACAGTCCAGGATCTTTTTTAGAATCAGTTGGTCGGTGGGTAGTTCTTCACTTTTCTAGTGCTGAGCAAATGCAATCCTTGCAGCAGTGATTACATGTAAAATCAAATACATTTCTTGTTTACTAATGTCCTCTGGTATAATGCCTAATAAAAAAACTTCAGGTTTAAACGCTAAAGGTTTTTGTAACATTTCCTCAAGCCATTTATATATTTTAATCCAATACTTTTTTCACATTATCGCAAATCCAGCACATATGATAAAAAGTACCCAATTTACATCAAGCACAGTTTACATCAAATACAAAAATATTTATTAATTAAATGTAAAATGCATTTAACTAAGAAACTGTCCTATTCCATATTCTAGCCATTTGTACAAATCATTGCAACATGTAAAAAGAAAAATGTTGCTATCCCAGTCTCAGCACATTAATAGATCAGTTGGTTGCCATTCCTTTGGGAAATGAGATGTGTCTTCCGACTGAAGCTCTCTGAACACTTCAACAATGCTATGGCTTTTCCCCAGTGTGAAGTCTTTGATGCCGAGTGAGCGTTCTCTTCCGACTGAAGCAATTTGCACACTCCAAACAATGATATGGCTTCTCCCCAGTGTGAATTCTTTGATGAAGAATGAGAGTTCGCTTGCGACTGAAGCTCTTTGGACATTCCAAACAATGGTATGGCTTCTCCCCTGTGTGAATTCTTTGATGAGAAGTGAGATGTGTCTTCCAACCGAAGCTCTTTCCACACTCCAAACAATCATGTGGCTTCTCCCCAGTGTGAATTCTTTGATGCCGAGTGAGATGCTTCTTCTGACTGAAGCTCTTTGGACACTCCAAACAATGATATGGCTTCTCCCCAGTGTGAATTCTTCGATGAGAAGTGAGATGTGTCTTCTGACTGAAGCTCTTTGCACACTCC